GCTGCCTGTGGGCCTAACGAGTGTTATCATGTTTGTCAAGAGACATCATTTTGGGCGGGTCTGAAGTTTTACTGGGCAGCAGGGTGGAGCTCCTCCATGCAGAGTTTGTCCTGTATGTGAATATTCATACAGTAGGTGTAGACATAGATCCACTGGGTGTGGATCTATGTTGTTCCAGACAATTTTGATAGCACGATGTAAGTTATATAGAAGTTGTATCAGCTTTTAGAAGCTGATAAAATTTTAAACCTGTCGTACAATTTTCCTTATTTTTATTAAATTTCTTGTGAAGTACTGCCTGTTTTCATCATTTCTTTTATCTTTAAGACTTTAACAAATGTAACAAGTAAATCTACAGAACCTTCTAGAGGCGAATGGATTAATATAGTTCATATGCTGCCAAAAGGCTACACTTATCTTTCCAACTATTTACCTTTGAAAAAGATCTATTCTGATGATTGGGCGTGGACACCAAGGATCTCGGCCAGGTTTGATTGGTATTGGCTGTTTTTAATAGTTTGATGAGTAAAGAGTTTGGGGCTTTAAGTCAGATTTGAACTTAAAGTAACAAAAGCTGCGCTTAAAGTCCAGCATGTATGTGACTAATCTAACAGGAAATCAGTGAGTGCCTCCAGCTAACTTCATATTATGAAAACTGTTCTATATACAGGCTGTCAACGTATTTAAGGGTGTTAGAAATGTGGAGCTTTTTCATTGTGCAGCCAGACTTTCTACCCATTCTCTCGACACATGTAGATACACTGTTGATTCTGTATGCTGGTGTAGCAAAGTGCACACTGTAATGCAAACTCAGAGTTTTTTGCACAGTCCACAGTGTGATTGACCGCCTGACATGTGTGCAACTCCTCCAGGTCCCAGTGTGCTACTGGGACGAGGCTGATTAGCAAATGAGTGGCAGCCAATTAGCCCAGTTGGCACTGCTCCCTGAACCACTGAGCAACTTACTTTTACAAGCATTTTTGAGCCCTTCTAACTTGTATATACAAAACTAGATAATGATAATGGGTGTGGGGCGAGACCAGTGATTGCCGGTTTCTCAAAAAAGAAAGCTAACCAACACAACATCCCACTAGTGACACAATTTTGTGTGTCCTGCAACAACACCAGCTAGGTTTGAACGAGCCATCGGTTCCACAGAGGAGGGCAGTGTGACAGCCAGGGAGCAGAGAATGGAGCAGATCCTTTCTTAAAGAAAATAAACTGATTCCCCCTCGATAAATTCACATAAAGTAGAATAGAGGTGCCTCTAAATAAAACACAGATCTGAAAATAGCAGTTATTATGGTCTCAAAAACAACCACCAGGGAGAAGAATTTAAACAATGAGCACAGAGGAAACTTGTACAGTCAAGACAACAATAAAAATACTGTCCAGCAAGCTCTTAATTACCAGACAGTCCAATATTTGTCTAAGTGCTAAATTCAGTGACTGTTCGGGTTCTTCTCAGCTCTGAATAGTGAGTCTCAGCTGAGCAGATTGTAGCCGCTCCCTCCTGATGCCGCTTCTAGGGTTGCTCGGTCAGCAGCTCTAAAGAATAGACAATGGTGACATTACCCAGCCACGTACAGCCACTGCTGATCTTACACACTCCCCTAATGAACCACTGTTGCCCAACACCGAGGAAAAACAGGTTACTCACAGGGCTGGGCGAGGCGCTAGCCAGAAAATTCTTATGACAACATGACAAAACTAAGAGAGTTCAGAGTTTGCACAACAAATATGAAACAAATAAAACCAAACACATGCAAAATCCCTAAAAACACAAGAACTTAAAAGACAATAGAATAAAAACATGGAAATGGCACCAGCATGAAGATTCTGTTATAACATACATGCAGGCAATCAGAAGGTCCTGAGTCCAGTTCCACCTTCAGGCCGAGGTCTATTCAATTCAATTCAATTTTATTTATATAGCGCCAAATCACAACATAAGTCGCCTTGCTGTGCATGTTCTCCCTGTGTTTGTGTGGGTTCTCTCCGGGTACTCCGGCTTCCTGCCACAGTCCAAAGACATGCAGTTAGTGGGGCTAGGTTAATTGGTGACTCTAAATGATAGAGTTACCACAGGCAATGGGAGTGAATGGTTGTCTGTCTCTGTGTGTCAGCCTGTCCAGGGTGCACTCTGCTTCTTATCCTAAGACAGCAGGGAGAGGCTCCAGCCCCCCGCGAGCCTAAAAAGGATAAGCAGAACAGAACACACTAACAATCACAAAGCTTAAAACCCCTGGTCGATATCACTGTTCTTCTGAGCTGACTGCAGAACTGATCAAACTAGGAGCTGGCTGGTGCCTGTTTTACCTTCAGCCATTGTCTTTTGTGGAGGACGAAAGGTTTCAAACTTCCAGGCCCTAAACTTCACGTCTGTTCTCCGTGGTAATAGTAAATGGATAAAATAAGGCTGAATGAAAGAATGCTTCCTTGAAAAAGACTTGAATACTACATAAAATAAACCTCATCCAAAGTGTCTTTGAATGGCAGACACAGGATGTGTCTGAGTGTCTACATGAGTCTCACAGGCCTGAACTCTGAACTGTTTGATCTGCTACCACAAACGAGCAGACGATGCATCAGCTTTTCCTACTGATAAAAACCTTCCTTATGGCCATTCATACTACACAAAGTAATGAAGCAATAAACAATTAAATGACACAAAAGTTTCTTTTTAACTTTCTACTTAAATTGTTTTTTACGATTACGGTTAAAAAACAAAACAGTAAAGGGAGTCTCACTGGTCCGGCCCACCTAAGGTCAGAGTGGCCTGTGATGTAAAATGAGTTTGGCACCCCGGCTCCAGACTGCGTGGGCCTTTCTTGCACCAGTGCAGTGTCTCGTGGAGGTCTGGATCGAGCCTCTGGAGTCCCCTTTGTTTGAAAATGGTGGCTCCAGTCTTCAAACAGGTGGACCAGAGAGTATGCTCCAATTATCATCCAATTAATGGGAAATCCTATTCGAGGGTGCTGAAGGAGGCTCTGGCTGGCAACTGGGGGCAAAGGAAAAATAAATAAATAAAAATTGGATCCCTAGTTCCTTGGGATTAATTACAGCAATAATTGCAAGACGAGCAACTCCCACCCGAACACTGTGGACGCACAAATTGGATTTGTAATTTTTTCTGTTTCTCTGCTCATTCTTGCCTTGTTGGATCGTTCCGAGGAATTGGCTCCCTTCCTGTCAACATGTATCTACATGCAGCAGAGATGATCGTGTTGGTGGCCAAGGTGTTCCCACTCTCTCCTCTCGAGATCAGCTTTAGCTTTGTGTATTATTATTATTACATCACTCTCAGGGTTCTTACAGGTTACTCTAGCCTTAAAAGTGAACAGGACTTTGGAGCCTGTTTTTCCAGGCTGCTAAATTTGAACCTAATTAGTTACAGGATGCATGGATTTAGAGGTGAGCTGCTGTTACCGGGTGTGGGTGAAGGAGGGGTGCTTGACCCCAAGGCCACCCTGGCGAGGGTAAACAGGGCTGTGCGCTGTCAGAAGAGAGTAGTCCCTTTACCGTTTTGCTGCTATCCCTCTGTAACAAAGCATCCCTAACACTCGCCTCCACCCACTCCACCCTGTTTGCGCTCTTCTTCATCTCTCTTGTACACGGTCCTTGCTTTTGATAGTAAACAACAGTGCTTAAAGTCATCTACCTTAACTACCTCTGCTTATTTCATCTTCACTGTCAAACCCGTCTCTCTCTCCTCTTCTTTGTAACACACAGCTTTGATAAAACAAACACAACTGGTTCTCAGCTGAATTCGTTTTTTCAGTACATATGCAGCTATTGTTTAAACGCTGAGGGCTTTTTTTGGTTATGAATAGTCTCGTTATAAAGAATAAAGCCTTGCTGCTCAACAGTCATTATGATAATGCTTTAGTTGTTATCTGAGTATTTGCATTTTGTTTCTAACTATACACCACATCAGGAGATTCAAACAAGCTAACTGAAGTAATTCAGCTTTGAATCTAAGAATGTAACGAAGGTATTGCAAAGCTATTCACGAGTGTTGAATCTGGTAGCTTTTCACTGTAACTCCAGCAGACTCACAGAGGTCTTGGTGCAAGTAAAGTATGCCCCCACCAGTGGGCTGAAAATACTCAGCAAAGAAGAAAAAAGAGTCAAAGCCTTAATCACCATGTTTAAGGCGAATAATATACCTTTGCAATTCTCGACTATATTCCTAACTGATCGTGATCATCTGCAGGACATGAGAAATGAATATCTTTTTATAATACTTGTGCCAAAAACGCAGTTACAAGATGCTGGCTCCGCCCCCCACTATGTCAGATTGCAGGGACAGTGTGAATGAATCAATTACATTCTCAATACGTCTTAAGAAGAATGTTTTTGCCAAGCTATGGTGCGAGTGGGTCAATTTTATGAAGCCTCTTCAACCAGACTTTAGAGGCTTGAGTGCTGTGTTTTATTTCCTGTCGAGTTCTACGTATGACATTGTTGCCTTCTCTCCCCATGTGCTTTTTGTCTGTTTGTTTGGGGCATATCTGGATGTTTTGTTTTTGATGTACTATGTGTTATACTCCACTTTGTTTTGAAAATAAAAAATAAAAGTGGCTAAATCAACTGTGTCGCCTGTTTCTGCAAAGAAAGCTCAGTAACACAGAAAAGGCCAGAGACAGCAGGCAACAACTTAAAGTGAGCAAAGTGATTCCAAAACGTGTTTCAGGTTAAGACAAATGGCGTAATTCATAAGCAGTTAATGTGATCGTTTTGTTAAACCTCTTGAATTAAAGCAGAAAGTTTTCACTTTAATAACATGTTGATTGTTTGATGAGTAAAAACAATATGATCACGTGTAAAAGGTTTCTCTCTGAAATCCAGACCTGACATTACATCAAAATCCAGTTCAAATATGGGTATAATTTGAATATTTATCAGAATCGTTTTTCCTGAGATGATTCCATAGTAAGATGATCTGTGTAAAGATGTGCCCACACTGCTGTTTGACTGCGCTGTTTCTGTCTTTGCAGCTTGTCTTTTTCGCCTCAACATCCTGTCATTGGTTTACTTCTTGTACCTGCTGCTCTTACCGTGGTTCCTGTGTCCCAACAAACACACCATCAAAGGTAAGAGCATCTGTGTTTACAGGTCCGACCTTTTATGCATTTGAAACCTGCTTTTCTTTAAGCCGTCCATCCATCCGGGCCGCGAGGGCAGGAGCCTTCTTTCTAGCTTATCCAAGGAACGCCAGGGTGTTCCCAGGATAGCCGAGAGGTTTAATCGCTGCACTGTATCCTGGGTCTGTTCAGCTGCCTCCTTTTGATGTGGAGACGTGGCGGCTCCACTCTGAGCCCCTTCTGCTTTATTGCAGTTCAGGATTCAGTGTCTTGCATATACTTATTCCATGTCTGTAAAATAAAGATTTATTTATTCTCTTGGTTTTATTTATGCTGCATTTAACCGTTTCTGTATCTCTCCTGTCTTTGCCTTTTAGGTCACACAGGACGCTTTATCAGAGCAATATTCTGCACCAGTCTGCTATTTGTACTGGCTCATATCTGCTTCCAGACAGTACTATACACATATCCTCCTCTCAACACTGCAATAGGTGATAACTGTTCACAATGGAATACCATAAGCAGACATATAGGACTGTCAAGGTAGGTAACTATGTATCTAATTCCATGAGTTGCACCATGTATCCCTGCCAGTGTCACTGATGGGCTGATTGTGGGAAATAGTAGGTAAATGTAGCCCACAAGTAAATGCAAAGCCTCCCACCGCTCTCTCCTTGTCTCCTCACCCTCAGCCAGTGGTGGAGAGGGCTGCCTCCTCCCTGAGCCTGGTTCTCACACATGTTTCTTTGTGAAAAGTTATTTTTTCCTTTGCACTTGCTCACCGGGGGGTCACAGGATTGTTTGGCCTTTCTCTGTATTATTTTAGCACCTTTAGATGAAAGTTGTTGTAAGTTTTACACTATATAAATAAGAGAAATAAAAATAAATTGAACTGAATAGACACCTGAGGAAGAAAATACTGAAATGAAGATGCTTATTTTAAAACACTGCCATTAATACTTTTTCATTTGAACATAGCGCTGTACATTAAATCACATTTAATTCAGTTTACTTTAATGAAAGCGCCTTTTGCATTTAAACCATCTTAATCAACCTTATTCCCATTGTTAGAATTGCACACAGGTCTTCAAGGTCCCTGGTTGCAAAGCTTCTACGAACTTTTTGTGCTTTCCCAAACTCACGCTATGATAACGATTAGGGACCAGAGCACCTTCTTCCTGTCAGTGTGCATCTATGTCACATGGGCCGTATGCTGTTTTTGTAAAGCTGCAGATTAAACTGATTCGATTAGTATGAACTTGGCAGGAGGCGACCTTAAATCTATTTGCACGAGTGCAACCTTAAATTCACTATTGCCTGTATACATTCATCTTTTAGCATTCTGTATTTATTTGGTCTTCTATTAGCCACGTATCTAACTTTTTGCTTGATTTGCAGCAAATTTGTGTCAAATAACATTTAATAATAATAATAATAATAGATTGGATTTATATAGCGCTTTTCAAGGCACCCAAAGCGCTTTACAATACCACTATTCATTCACTCATTTGAATAAATCAAGTGTTCCCAACAGAACTCTGGATTGTAATGGTATCCATACATCCACCATGCAATGTGGATACATTTTGTGTATGATATCTCTGAAATGTTTTACATGAGTTGAGATAAAATGAGATATACTTTATTTATCCTATAATTGTAACAGCCTTACATGTGTACGTGTGTCATAGGCTTCCCTTGGAAGACCCTTGGAAAGTGGCACGTCTCCTGTGCCCAGACCTTGGTGTGTGTATACTTGCATTGGTAACAGTCATCCTCTGCAGCAGATTGGTCAGGAACAGAGAAATGGTGGCTGCTGCCAACATTACATCGGTGAGTCTCTTTGCATATGTTTTAATGTGTATCTTTATGACAGGAAACCAGCAGTGTGGTTGTGCTGAAATCAAAGAAGTCACAAAATTACACATAAAAACTATATATGATAGATGGACAATCACTAGTGCATGCAGCAAGGAGAAGGTCAAAACAAAACTGTGTTGTTGTTTTTTGTCTTTTAGCATCATAGCAGGTTCTAAAATGATTGAAATCCAACCTCAGAGGAACAATAACACGTCATTTTTTAATCAAAAGCTGAAGTAGACTGTGTGAAAAATGAAGTCCTCTTACAAATTGTTGATACTCACACACAACTGAGTGTGCTAATCCGTGCCTCACCAGATCAAGTGCATGGATATTACTCAGTGAAACCAATTCCTCGAGTACAGTACTACTCAAAAGTCTTGAGACAGCTTTCAATTCTTTATATGGGGCGATCGTGGCTCAAGAGTTGGGAGGTCGCCTTGTAATCGGAAGGTTGCCGGTTCAAGCCCCGGCTTGGACAGTCTCGGTCGTTGTGTCCTTGGGCAAGACGCTTCACCCGTTGCCTACTGGTGGTGGTCAGAGGGCCCGGTGGCGCCAGTGTCCGGCAGCCTCGCCTCTGTCAGTGCCCCAGGGTGGCTGTGGCTACAATGTAGCTGCCATCACCAGTGTGTGAATGTGTGGATGACAGGTTGTGTAAAGCGCTTTGGGGTCCTTAGGGACGAGTAAAGCGCTATACAAATACAGGCCATTTACCATTTATATGTTGCTAGAAAAATGGGTACAGCAATTTATCAAAACATTGTCAAACATACAAACAAATACAGCAGCTAAGGCAAAGACGAGGGGTGTGCAATTCATACTACCTGGAACGTCAATATTTGGTATGACCACCTTGATTCTACAGCACAGGCAGTTTTCTTATCATTTATTCTATTTCTGAAGTCTACTTAAACTTTCTTTTTTTCTATAACTATAATTATTTTCCAGCCAGTCAGAATTTTTGCACACTGAGAGCAGATGTGTGATCTGAGTGACAGGGGCTGTTATTGTGTGTGTGGATGGATAATAGCCAACACTGAAATTCATTTCTTGCACACAGAAATGAATTTTGTTTGCACAAATTAAACTTTTCTTCTCAAAATACAGCATTTGTTCTTGCAAATTATTTACTGCGCTCAGAATAGAGGCACAAAAATAACGCCACAGTTTGAGTTTTCAAGTAAAATCTTACAAATCTAAGGGGGGACATCTCATTGTTGATCTCATTGTTGCTCACTAACAACTCAGTGTCCCAGAGGTTTAACTGACTTGATGCTGTGCTCTGAATACATGTTCCTTTCATCTTATTGAGAAGTGTAACACATGTTGTAAATACATAATCTTACTAGCAAGGACTACTTTCTTCTTTGAGAACAATAAGCCTTAAATCACTGGTGATCTGAAAAAAAAAGCCTAATTAAAACAAGGCTGGCTTCTACAGAGGAGGATTAAGGTCTCTGGAAAAAGTCAGAATTCTGACTTTAATCTGAGAATTCTGGAAAAGAAGAAAAAAACAGTGGCCCTAATCCTCTTCCGTAGCTTTCAGGTCTGGGGGCAGGGAAGAACTGGAAAGTGCAGAACGGGCTGCGGGTGAATTCACAGAAATGCAAGAATTCCTACAGAAGGAAGCTCGAGGGCAAACTCGAGCAGAACAACAGGAGGGATGGGTGGAGTGAAGAAAATCACTGGGTTTAAGGTGACAGATGGACAGCCATCACTGCAGTGGACAGCCTGGAGGGGGTGAAGAGCCATTCATTCAACAGGTTTAGGTTCAGCTCTCTGCTACACACTTGTTTGGGTGCAGTGCAGGAGCGTCTCACAGTGCCGTCTCCAGTCCCGATCATCTCGATGCCTCAGGTCTTCACTACAGGTCATGCCATCTACAGAAACACTCTAATAAATTCTGCAGTGGTTACATGTATTAATTAAGAACAGGGGGAGGAGTGGATGGTTTAGTGAGGTGGTGTGGGAGAAATCACCTGCTTCTGAATGTGAATAAGGGAGCTCTGGGAGGACAGTCCATACCTGAGTGTGTTTTTTCAGGAATGCTGTGTTTGGGACCAATGTCATGTTGAAAAATAAGCTGACATGACAGCATCATGTCAGATGCTTTCCACATGGCATTGCAGGTTGGATCAAAATATGATGGTACCATGACGGCGCCTCCACCATGTTTTACAGATGGCTGTAGACTCACTGTTGGATCTCTCCTGACCAACCATAACAATTTGAACCAAACTTTTTAAATGTGTATTCATCAATCCATCAGACTTGTTGCCACTGATTTTCACCTGGTTCTTCTGTGATTTGGCGTAACTCTGCCTATTGTTTTCGTTTCCTTCCTTAAACTCCTGAGACCCGAACTCTTTCACGCCATGCATTTTTAATTTCTCTTTGCGATTTGGGCTGATTCGGACCCGATGAATGAAAAAACAAAGAATCATCTTTTTACCTGATGTCGTTTCTGGTGATGTTGTGCAAAACTCTTTATTTGTTGTCTGAACACAGCAGCATTTTTCCTGAGTACAAAAACAAAAAGAGAAACAACAGTTGTGCCCCTTTGAGCAATATAGCTCATTTGAGGTGCTGCTAACAGTTGCAGGAAGACGTAACAAAGTAAAAAAAAGTAAAAGATTTCTGAACGTCGCATAAAACATGAAAACTTTCGGTCCAAAGCTGCTACTTCAAAACATGGGAACATATTCACACCTATATGTGTAACATTTTCTATTGTGGTCTAACAACCATGAAATGTGATGTCCACATTTAAGAGGTTAAGAATTCCTTCCTTTTTACCCAGACCATTTCTCTGAGACTTCAGTGAACAGTACACGAGTTTCCGATACTGTTCATCTACTGCAGTTTTTATTTTTTAGGCCTCACACCTTTACTTTTGCCTTATGTTTGTCCACTTGCCACATATTGTTACAACGCACCAGGTCAAGATATGAAAGATGCGTTCTTTTGTAAGCAGCCGATGTCTAAAGAAAACCTCTGAAATGCACCCAGAAAGCATTACAAAACATCATGAAATAAGGATTGGCTCAAGACTTTTTGCACAGTACTGTATATTCAGATTTCTACATTTATTTCATCAGATTTTTACATCAGTAGATAATCACACAGTGAGCTGAGAATGTGTCCGCAGAAATAAAGTGTAGGATATTAGCTCCAGCACTACTCCTGTAACCGAAGGAATCCTCTGGGTGATGTAATTTACAAAGCATGTCTTTCTTTTCATTCCTACACATCGTAGCTAGAACATAATTCAACAGACGACACAGAAGACGTTGGGGATGATGATAACAGTGACTGTGATGATGATAATGAAGAAGAGGCAACAGGAGAGGAAGATGAAGAAGAGAGGTCATTAGCTGGTGATGCTGATGAGGTTTCCACAGTAACCAGAGCCAAGCAGTTGGCTGAGCAGTTGAAGGCTACAGCCCAGAAAGTTCTGCGGGACCTGGGGAGGATCTTGGCGATTAGCCTGCTGGGTCTTGCTGGTGAGATCTTAGTGTTGTTTTTTGTTACTTTTTATTACCCCCTCATCTGTAAAAGGCCGATGGGGTGTTGTCGTCACCCTGCTGTGCGAGCGGGCTACGCGGACACCCAAGTTTGTGGACACGATAACTCGAGAATGAAGGGACGTAGATTTCAAATTGATACCATAGGTGCAGGTACCAGAATAATACTTGCGGCAGTAATACTTACTGCCGCAAGTATTATTATCTTTTTGCCTGTCTCAAATAGCAAGAAAAAAGATTGACAGGAGATTTGGAAAAACAGGGAAAATAAGAATAAATGTCGAAATGCTCAAGAAAGAACTGAAAGCAAAAACGCCGCCGAAATACGACTGATGTCTTTTACATGACGACATTTTGTTTGTTTGCCCAGACAAAAGCTGCAAGTTGGTTTTGCTTCATTGTAACGTAAAAAAATCTAAATTCTAAAGGAAATCCACGTCATCTCATGAAATTCTCGTTCATCAACATAGTCAAACGGTGAAAATCTCCATCATAAATGACCAAATCACCATCTGACTCATGACAAAGATTCATCTGGATTTGCGTAAAAGTTGCTCTTTAAGAAATATTGTGTTTTTCCTTTAAGACACAAAGGAGCATAAAACTTTTATCAGGCCCACTTTGTTTGTACTTCATTTTCTGGACCTTTGTGTGCACTGCATATAAACCTCTGACCTTTTCTTTATAGGGATCACACTGCCATCTGCCTTCTCAGCCATTTACTTCCTGCTTTTCATTGGTATTTGCACTTGGTGGGCATGTCATCTTCCCATCAGCCACCTGGGTTTCAATGCGCTGTGTGTGATGGTGGGCTTCTTCACTGCTGGCCATATGGTGTGTCTGTATTTATACCAGAGTCTGCTGGCCCAGGCCCTGTTCCCCCCACAAAGCCTGTGGGCCAGGTAAGTCTTCATAATAACAGATTATATGCATATGCAGAATTGCAGGGGACAGCGACCCTTAGGTTGCATCATTTCATACCGTGCATGGTTATTCAGCAGATTTCAACAGAAATAGATGCCACATGACCGCAGGCAAAAGTGCTATTTCATCAGTGTTGCAGGACATGTAACCTGGGGGAAAAGAAACTCCAGTTGACATGACGAAACCCCTGGCAGTGCCAGTTTTTGGCCTGATTATTAAAGACCGTGTATACGTCTTGATACAGTTGGGTCAATAATTTATTGCACAAACAGATTTGTAAGAGTGGATTTTACTGTCGAGATATAACTGAAGTGCAGACTTTCTAATCTAAACAAATAAAAATATTTGAATTCGTTGTTTAACAGTTTATTTGGGTTTCAGCTCAACGCTGGTCTCTCTCCGGTGCGGTCGAATCACTTTGAGCCTCACATTTAAAAAGAAATTCCCTGTCGGCCTTTTGTCCAGTTATTTTTGAGCCTCTGATATTTTTGAGCCTCTGTTTAAAGCAGCTTTAATTCCTCAACAGATAATCCAGAATTTGGGTTAAATCCCTTAAATTAGAGCTGAAAGGCCACACTTGGCTCACGATTTACAGATTTACAGAGGAACAAGACAACGTTTTGCCGTTGGTTTTAACATTTGAGTAATAAAGACCCCATCTTTGTGGTGAAGTGACTGTGAGAGGCCAGTATTTAAACACATATAATTCAGCCTACAACAACAAAAATGTCATTTGCTGTGCCTTCATGCCTGTAAACCCTCCTTAATTGTATCAGTACATATATCTGTGGCTATGAAATTTCTCTTTCGGGTCAACTATTCAAGTTTACTGACGAGAAACGAAATGAACGCAGTGTGACTGTGCTGGCATGAGAGGCATGAGTGGAATGAGCCTCCACTGGGATTTACGGTCTCTCTTCTTCTCAGTTTCTTCCTCATGACGTCACGGCCCTCTTGGCAGGTTTCTGTATCGGTATCACTTAGCCAGCTGTTCATCAGTCAGCCTAGTCGACGTTTACCCAGCAAACATACTCCACTGTCATAAAACTGAGTCTGTCTCTTTAGTGAAGCTGACGGGAAAATAGTCAAATGTTGAATGTAGATAATGTAGATGTGTGATTATTATTATTAGTACTTTAAAAGAACTCTTAGCCTTTTTGATATTACTGTGCCATGTCCCAGGTGTCAGCTGATCCTAAGCTTCACACTTTGTTTGATCACGTTGGAACATGTTTGGTATCATCAACATAAAGATGAGTTCAACTCTGAGCTGTGATAAAAAAAATGATTAGAATTGTGATGAAGGCACAGCTATGGAAGCCCGTTTCCGCCACTAAATAAAAACAAAACAGCTAGTATGCATAACTCGAAATTTTGAGTTATTTTCTTGAAATTTAGACTTACTTTTCTCAAAATGTCGAGTTAGCTCTGCCAATCAAAAATATGTGTGAATGAGGTCGCTTTCTTGTTACCCGGAAGCATATGGTGCAGAGGAGCGCGCACTCAAAAACGGATCCCAACAAATTGGCGCTTTGGCGAGTGCGTTTGCTGATAGTAACACCATGTGATTCAGCTAATAACAGGGATTTCATCATTTGTGAAGCCAGGCTGAAAACACTCAGCAATCTGTGCGACTGGATGTAATACTTAGCTTAGCTGTAGCATTTGTAGCTGACGCTTCAGCTTCTGGGTAACGAGGAAATCATGTCAAATTTCGAGTTACTTTGAGTTAATATGTCGGAATTTTGAGTTCTGGATCCTTTTTTTTTAGTGGCGGAAACGGGCTTCCATACACAGCTGTTGCATATGACTGAAGTGTGTCTGTAACGTGGATGGTGACAGAAATAATACGATTCTGTTCCTTCAATTTGTTTACTGCATGTAACACAGGTCATGCAAATCTGTGACCCAACGTACTTGTACTTATTTTCATTAGTGATGAAAGACACGTTTCCAACTTAAAACCCCCAAACAAACAAACAACCCCCCAAAAACGTGTACTAGTGTATCCCACCAAAGATTTGAAAAAGCTTTCTTCTTTTGTCATTCAATTCAAAAAGGTTATTCATTGTTCAGTACACATTTTGAGTTTGTGCTTGTTCAGTGCACACAAACACAATCATAGGAAAGACTGCTCATTGGATTGTTGAGATGATGACTCGCCGAGCCACAGACGCACATTGCTGGAACAAAGCATATCAATGGAAAGTTGACTGGAAGCGAGACTCCTGAGACGACAGTCAAGAAAACCCACCGAGAACCCTGCAGGGAATCTATTGTTGTTGTCAAGAGGAGAGGTCAAGGGTCGGACTCGAACTCCGGCCACTGTGTTCTAACCATGTAGTACGTGGTGGCCGCTCACGCTAAACCAGCACCTGTGAGAAGCTGCGTGCATGATTTTAGTGAGCTGTAAGCTGTAATCATCAAAGTTAAAACAAAAGAACATCTGAAATACTTCCCTTGCAAACTTTACTGAATTGCCTGATGCTAATCGTACTTTAGCATTGTGGCTACGACTCTACATCTTTGCTTTGCTATGTCTATGGTGCCGGATTTTCACTGATCACACCTGATCATAATGTTCTAGATCCTGACACTTGGTCACAACGGTATTAGTAAATCAATTAACACAGGTCTATTCCTCGATTTCTTTCTCTTTTTTTCTGCCTAGACTCTTTGGTCTGAAGGACATCATCATACCAGGAAACTGCACCCTGCCCTATGACCTCAATCTGAACAGCAGTCATGACTGGCCAGTTTATGTCAACCCAGGAATCCTCTTTTTGCTCTATACTACCATAGTGACTGTTCTCAGAACAGGACGTCACGGAGGCTCTAACGCGGTATCTCCTCACTCACTCTTTTTATATTATAACATACAGTGGGGCAAAAAAGTATTTAGTCAGCCACCGATTGTGCAAGTTCCCCCACTTAAAATGATGACAGAGGTCAGTAATTTGCACCAGAGGTACACTTCAACTGTGAGAGCCAGAGATTTTCCTTGTTTGAGGTGACCAAATACTTATTTTCCACCCTGATTTACGAATAAATTCTTTACAAATCCTACCATGTGGATTCATGGATTTTTTCTTCACATTCTGTCTCTCACAGTTGAAGTGTACCTCTGGTGCAAATTACTGACCTCTGTCATCATTTTAGGTGGGGGAACTTGCACAATCGGTGGCTGACTAAATACTTTTTTGCCCCACTGTATCTTTATATTCTCTTAGTACTGAATGTGCCCCCACTGGCTTTTCTTTGATAAAGTATTTAAACATAATGGAAAGCTTTGTTATCGTATCAAATCTCACACACTGAAACAGTGTTTATACAAAAACCCAAACATATTGATATTCAAAATATAAAAACAAACATAATAAAAATAACTCTTTTATTGAAAAGATTTTTTACGTTAGGGAGACGTAGGAGAGCAAAGAGGCCCAGGTGGGTTTAACATGCCACAGACTCTGCAGCTGATGCACTTTTGTAGCTGCCACGTGACTTTTGAAAAACTGTATCTTCTGAAATCTTCTGAGGGCTTCTTCTTTTTCTGCAGGAAAAGCAGCAACAGGAGAAAAGACGCGAGAGGAAAGAAGAGCTGGTGGAATTACAGCCTTGGAATGAACAAAAAGACGACTATGAAGACGACACACAGGTAGATCATTTCTATTGGCTGTACAAAAGGCTCTATTTGGATTTATTGCCTACGGCTGATATTTAAATAGAGATTCTTCTTCTCTTCTGTGTTTTTATATCGTACTAAAGAAATGCTTGTCTATCTTCACTATATATCCAATGCAGTTTCAGTTGTATAGACCCAAAATGACAACAGCAGTCGCCTCAGGGTGCTTTATGTGGTAAGGTGTAAAATATATTGTAATGGAGTTCCACAGGGTTCAGTGCTGGGACCAGTTCAGTTTACATTATGCATGCTTCTCCTAGGCAGTATCATTAGTAGGTATAGCATACATTTTTACTTCTGTGCAGATGACAAACTGAGGTTCTTGTACTTGGCTCCAAAAATTCGTAGAAATACAGTGTCTAACCAGATTGTTACCCTGGATGCCATTACTTTGGCCTCCGCTAACACTGTGGAGTCATTTCTGACCAGGACATGTCCTTGTTAAATCTGGGACTAGTTTCTTCGATTTTTGTACAACATCTCTAAAATTAGAAATACCTTATCTCAGAGTGATGCTTAAAACCCCAGTTCATGCATTTATTACCGTTAGACTGGACTATTGTAATTCATTATTATCAGGATGTCCTAAAAGCCTTCAGTTGATCCAAAATGCTGCAGTAGCCTATCTCCCTGATCAAGCACTGCTAACTTACTTGTGGTTCCTAGGATCAAACTTTCCTTTTTGCTAAAGCATATAGCTGAGGCTGGATCAGGTGACCCTGAATCCTCCCTTAGTTACACTGCAATATGTTAAGGCTACTGGGGGCTTCCCATGATGCACTGGGTGTTTCTTCTTACTCATACCAGTATCGACCGTGCTGCTCTTTGTGCTGACATCCAGATAGGGCTGGAACTATTTAATATTTAAAACTGTCATATACCCTCCACATAAGTACAAATAAACATCTGTGTGTGTGTGTGTGTGTGTGTGTGTGTGTGTGTGTGTGTGTGTGTGTGTGTGTGTGTGTGTGTTCTGTGTTTCAGGTCGTACTCTTGTCTGTACCAACAGAAAGCGGAGGGACTGTGACCGAAGACAGTCAGCCCTATCTCGGTACCAGCTGCTATTTTTCACAGAAATGACTCACCAGTATAAGTCACCCAGTATGAAAGTGTGTCAGAAAAGAATCAAACAGTGGACAGCCGTTATAGGCCTGACTGGAGGACATCGATCTGACAGCCTGAAGTGAATCATTTATGATGTAGCGCACAAAAGTGAACGATATTCTGTGGACATCACTGACTTTTTCAGCTTAATTGAAAAACAACATTTAATGGTCTTTGAGGACGTACACATAGAGTATACTCAAACCAAGAAACGAGTTTTAATGGATGAAAAACATGTCACTTATAAGTACACCCAACAGTTATCTGGGATCAGGGGTCTCAGGTTTGGTGCCAGTGAATATCACCCCCTTATGACCTCAGCCATACATAAATGACCATAAGTCCTGTGACTGAGATACTTGCTTCCTGCAGCTCTAGCATAACTCAGTCTAACACGAAGGACCCCAGACTCAGCCAGAAAGCTGCCATCATGGCAGGTTTACATTTACAACATGCTCACACGAGTGCGCTGGTCCGTGCAGCCAAACAGTGTCTGACTTTTCAGCACGGCTTCACCTCTACGTGTCCACTGAAACAGGAGGCAAAACCACACAATTACTGTCAAAGGTGTGCTGACCAGCCTCCACTGGCACTGCCCCCTGAACCCACCCCTCCCCTGCAGCTGATCCTCAGACCACATCCCGCCACATACCCACGTCCCCCAACTTAGGCAGGGGAGCCATCGAGCTTCTGCTACTTGCCCTTGGTTTAATCCAATGTCATAGAAAAAAGAGCAGTGCCTGAGCGGTTCAGGGGCATGGTATAAGCACCATATTACCTGCCCCGCATCCATCATCCGGCAGTCCAGACGAAAGTGCCCCGGTTACCCACATTTCTAACTTTCCTGCCCTGGCACTTGTGCGGCTCCCGGTGAACGGGATACAGCATCCGTAGCCACCGGGACCTACTGGGAAATGGGACTGGCTGCCTCTTCCCTGCTGGCTGCTTGGGCTCTCGCAGGGACCCTGGTGCTTTCAGGCGATCCTTTACCAGGATTACAGCCTGTTTCTCTCCAGGTGTTTTTGAGTGGCTGCTGCCTGCTCCCGGTGGATCACTGTGAGCTCCACCACCATCGTGGTTAGCACCTCCACCGGTCGAGGCTGTCGCAGGCCTCACACTGATGCACTGGCGAACTCAGGTTTCAGTGACACCCAGATTTTAGGAGCTGGGGATTAAGTCTCTGAACTTCTAATTGGTAGACAACCTGTCCACCTCCTCCACGTCCTCCTCCTGTCCACCTCCTGAGCCACAGCTGCCTCTAGAGCTGTAATATTGTAGTTTCTCGTTTTACCTCAACAAATGGTTGTTGGAGGTCTAACGCAACATTGTGAACAGGAATATGATTCTTTTCTTTAGGTGCAGAGGCGAATGTGGCCTGCAGTGGGAAACGGGGTGAAAGCCCATTCTTCCTGCTGGGAAGAGTGGTCATGCAGCAGAGTTACGTCTGTGCTCTCATAGCAATGATGGTAACCATGAAGTTCTGTTCAGACTCGTTTCAGCAGCAGCGTCACAGACTTTCACACACAGTCACTTTGTGTCCAGGTTTGGAGCATCACATACCACAGCTGGTTAACCTTTGTGCTGCTGCTGTGGGCGTGTCTCATTTGGATCCTGCGTGCGAGGTACTGTTACCACACGTTTGTTACACATCTGTGACAGAACAAGTCAAGCGTCTGCTGCCTGGTTATTGTGTGTAAACATGTTCATTGATACTTCTTAAATATTTGTAAATGTAACACCTGTAACTGTAACACCCTCTAGAGGTTAAAGAACTCAATACTTACTTAATCCTGACGGTGCATCTGTCAGACCCTGATGAAGACTTGGATCGGTCTTAATCAGGTCTGGTTGCTTCCAAGAATGCATTTTTATATAAATTGATCCCAAACAGAGTGCCTCAGCAGCTCCTCTCTGATATATTAAAAAAATCATTGATTGTGGATTTTGCTAATAATAACTGATCATTGAGAAGATTACAGATATTGTAGGGAAAAAATACATCACACAACAATAATTATTAATTGCAGTGTTTTTTAACTGTTGTGCATTTAAACTTGTTTCCCAGTATTTTAATAGTCTGATTGAGTTGGGGGCGGGGTCTGTGTTTTCAGGCGACATGCAGCCACATTGTGCTCGCCATTCATCCTGCTCTACGGCTTGGCTCTGTGCTGTCTGCAGTACGTCTGGGCCATGGAGCTTCAACCTGAGCTGCCCACCACAGTGGGAACCATGAGCCTCGGACAGCTAGGACTGAATAGAACCCAGTACCCCTGCCTCAGACTGGGAGCTATGGTAAGAAGAGAGCATATGTGACATTCAATTCAATTCAATTCAATTTTATTTATATAGCGCCAAATCACAACATAAGTCGCCTCAAGGCACTTCATAGATACAGAGAAAAGCCCAACAATCATATGACCCCCTATGAGCAAGCACTTTGGCAACAGTGGGAAGGAAAAACTCCCTTTTAACAGGAAGAAACCTCCGGCAGAACCAGGCTCAGGGAGGGGCGGCCATCTGCTGCGACCGGTTGGGGTGAGAGAAGGAAGACAGGATAAAAGACATGCTGTGGAAGAGAGACAGAGGTTAATAACAGATATGAGTCAATGCAGAGAGGTCTGTTAACATATAGTGAGTGAGAAAGGTGACTGGAAAGGAAAAACTCAATGCATCATGGGAATCCCCCGGCAGCCTATGTCTATTGCAGCATAACTAAGGGAGGATTCAGGGTCACCTGGTCCAGCCCTAACTATATGCTTTAGCAAAAAGGAAAGTTTGAAGCCTAATCTTGAAAGTAGAGATAGTGTCTGTCTCCTGAATCCAAACTGGAAGCTGGTTCCACAGAAGAGGGGCCTGAAAACTGAAGGCTCTCCCTGATAACGACATGATAACGAAGTTATGAAATTGTGACGGATTGTAACATTCAGCAGGATGTTTACCCATAAATATGTGTTTGGCTTTACTTATTGGTCTGTACAGCTCCTAGAAGGTTAAACTGTCCAGTTCTCACCATGTGCTCTCGAACAACAACAACAATAGCAGAGCTGGTTTCTCAGATCATTTCTACATCAGATACTCACTGTTGTTGGTCAGAGGCTGAATGTGCAAGTACTGCATCTCGTGTTCCTTTAAACCACAGCACGAGGGCCTTCACCGCTAATTCTTAACCTGACTTGATCTAGTAATTATAAAAGTCCACACAGTGAAACAGAATAAAGACACGACTAACAACAGATGAAGGATGAAAACAGCTTCATCACTTTGACAGCAAGTGTGCTGCAAATGCAACACGTGTAACATTAACAGCTTGGACGCTGCAGCTCCGCTTGTGTCTGTTTATTCTACCACAGAAACCTTTGAGCACAGTGATGCACAGAAACACTGCAAACATGAACAAAAACATCAGTGTTGGAGGGAACACAACACAGTAACACAGACAGACGTACTGCTGCTTAGCCAAGAGCCAGCTGTTGGTAAATAAGCTGAAATATGACATTTAGCTTTGAGTTGGATAATATTTCTAATCGAATCTGAAGGCGCTCGAGGGAATCGCCAAACAGTCCGCAGACGTGTCAGCCAGTAGCTTTGGCTGCTTTCTCACCACAGAGCTGACGTTTCATGACTAACCTGGTTTGGTGACTGGACGTTGTGTTGAGCACATTCAGCCCCTCCTTGGGCAAAATACTGAACCCCTTCATTGATCAGAGTGTGACAGAAAATACTTAGGGTATAGACTACAGTGATGTATGAATGTGTGTGTCCGTGCATGAGTGAGGCTGGTAGCAAACAGCACTTTGGAGTCTCAACATTGTTTTCCTTTCAGTGCCCAGCATTGGGCAAAGTAACACGGATCATCCCGTTGTTGTTGTGCAGCTTGGCTCATTTTTGTCTGTTTGGTTACGTTGTGTGTAGTTACTGCACAGTAACTTTGTCTCGTGTGTATTTGGTTTTATTGTTGATTTGCTGGATGCTCAACAATGATGTTTTGCATGAATTTGCAAAGTTGGTTGCGTTTGTACTTTTGTGTATTCTGCGTGTCTTAAAACTGAACTTGTGGTCTTCATGTTCGTCTTCTTTCCCTCTGTCTCTCCAGCTTTTATTTACCTTAACCTTTTGGCTGTTAGTACGTCAGTCAGTGAAGGAAAACTTCAGCAGGAAAAGGAAAATAGCCACACCACTACAGGAAGTCACTACAGGAGGTCAGAATCACACACACAACTTCACACTGACCTGCTGAATAAATGAAATGATTTAGGTTTGTTTTCATATCAGTGATTAGATGTTAAAAATTCTGGTAAAATAAGGTGTACTGTGTTTATCCCAGAGTTGGGAAATTCCTTTATTGCAGTCCTTAATTATTAAGTGAAACACATCAAAAATACAACAAATAGCTCAAATAGGTAGAATCGTACAATGTGACAGAACAAACGTCATAAAAAAGTTAAAAACAAAACATTGATTCAAACTGGATCCTGATAATCAACGATGGATTACCACTAAAAGTAACGGACACACCCCGACATCACAAACACTCCAGTTCCTCTGGCAGTCTGAGTGAGGTCTCGACCATTCAGAATGTTCATTTTCCAGCACTGTGTGTGGGAGGTTATGCATTTCCATCAAGCAGAATACTGCAGTATCTCTCTTAGCTTTTCATGTAGCCGCAGCTCTGCAGCCGTCTCCTCTGACAGGTCCCGTTCAGCCCGTGTGGCAGCAGCGTGGCTCTCCATCGTTACTGTGCTGTACACCTAACCTCGGTTTCTTCCCAACGTCTCGTCCTTATTAGACGAGGAGGCTGGTAATGAATCTGTGCTGAAGGTTCTGGGAGGCATGGTGATGAGCTGCTATGCCAAATACTGGATCTATGTCTGTGGAGGGATGTTCATCATGGTGTCCTTTGCTGGAAAACTTGTTGCATACAAGATCATCTACATGCTGCTGTTCCTGCTCTGCATGTGCCTTTATCAGGTATGCACACATGTCGTAGACATCATCATGCCAAATAAATGGCTTCTGGCCCTTTTGTGTTAAACTGTGTTAAAACGCCTCCTCGAATGTTTCGTATGTCATAATAAGTAATTTTAAAAATCTCTTTTAACTCGTAACTTGTTCCTATTTTTCAGGTTTACTATTCTCTGTGGAGGCGCCTGCTGAAGCTCTTCTGGTGGCTCGTTGTGGCCTACACCATGCTTGTGCTGATTTCCATCTACACTTACCAGTTTGAAGACTTCCCTGGATACTGGAGGAACTTGACTGGTTTCACAGAAGTACAGTACGTGCTTTAACTAAAGCTTTTTTAATCCTGTCTGCACCGTTTACCTGCCTGTGTACAGATTTACAGCAATAAGAGCAATAAGAACATTTATTATTATTATTGTATTATATACATATATATGTATATTAGAGGTGTGGCATGTCAGTATTCATGCTGTTCAATCAGCACATTGACATGCCACACCTGTGAGCTGGGATGGATTAGCTCAGCGAAGGAGACGTTCTCACTAACACAGATTTAGACAGATTTGTGGACAACATATGGAAGTGATGGATCTTTAGTGTAGTAGAAAATGTTTCAGAGCTTTGAGTTCAGCTCATGAAAAACGGGAGCAAAAACAAAAGATTATATTTTTATTCAGTGTAACTCAGTTTTTGTTTATACAGCACCAAATCACTACAGCAGTCGCCTAAAGGTGCTTATAGTATATAAAACATTATACATGCATGTGTTTCATATAAATATATTTGATAACTTTTTATTTTCTTTAGCTGAGATAATTGAGCCTTTCAGTTAAATAAAACGTGTGAATTTTGATCTTATGTACTGTATATAATAAATAAGCATGAAATCCAGAAAGCTAAACAACATGAGGTGGTTTGTTTACGAGCACGATCTAAGTCAAAGTTGTAATTGATACGTGCTTAAATTTACACAAAATGTCAGAGATCATGAAACATTATTGGTAAAAATGTTTCATGATCTCTGGGGCGTGTTGGGCCATTTTTGACACAAAACAGAAGAAACAAAACTTTCTGTCCACGTCGCTCTCTCTGTCACTCCCAAAACTTTACCCTCTTCCTAAGCAAGCACAGCTCATGATTTCTTATTGGTCGATATGCTACATTTTTCCACCAATAGGAAAGGGCTGGCATTTCTTTTCTTCTTTTTTTTGCACTGTACTTAGAAAACACTTTTTCCCCGAAACGTGACGATAGTATTCAGCAAACCCTCTAACACGCACCCTCATTCCACTTCCAGAGTGTAGCAATCAACCACAACCTGTGCCGAAATCTGAAATGCCCACGGTGTTGCTCTGTCATCCTCAGGCTGGCAGCGATCGGCCTGGAGACCTTTGCTCTGTCTGAACTCTTCACTAGCATTCTGATCCCCGGCTTCTTCCTGCTGGCCTGTATCCTACAGCTGCACTACTTTCACAAGCCGTTCATGAGAATCACTGACCTGGAGCAGATCACGCCCATACACAGGTAACACCTCCTGCTGCTGCTCATGACATGTAACAGCAGAATGTCTTTGCTTTTCTTCATAGTACAGTGTTCATACTGTTGTCGGACGCTGTCACGTCTTAAGAAGCTACCCAAGTTCGTTTTTACGTCCTGTGTGGAGTTGCTGGGCTGGAACGGTTAAACATTTGAACCTGGTTTTAAATATTTAGAAAATGTAGAAATGATCAGAGGACCCACAAACAGCTTCGTTGTCCCTGAAATAAGTTTCTCATTCAGTTGTTGGTCACGCTTGGTTTTTACATGGAGTGACACCCACCACCACCTGTGTTGCGTTAGAAAGAAAGGTGATGTTTGTGCTTTGGTCTAATCTTCTCAGAAAAAAGCGCAGCGGCAGGGCAGACCAGACTGGCTCTGCTGATGTGCAAACGAACCATGACGAGGACCTTGTTGCAAACACTGATGATGACTCTGAAGATGAAGGTAAAACAAAACCTTCAGGTTTCTTATAATTATGTAAAAGTTGCTTTCTAATATCATATAGAACTATGAGGCTGTTACATCTGAAGAGACAGCAACCGACTGCTAATTGATCATCGGGTTTATTAAGCTGTTTGTCCTTGAATGGGTCACTGGTCCCATTCATTCTGTCTTACTGGTGTTGATGTTCCAGAGCTTCTCGTCATTAGCTCCTCTCTCTTACTCGCAGCGGTCCTGAGGTTTGAGATTACACTGTGTGCCTGTCCAAGAGAATCAAATCCTAAACATTCCCATTAAATCAGAGGACTGAGCAGGCAGACTGGATGCACTGGAAATATACCTTTTAATTTAAGAAGTCATCCCAGTCAGACTCACAGATGTTTGTCTGATTTCTTCATTAGTGGAGCTGATGCCTAGTAAATGGGGTCTGGTGATGGACAGGTTACTGGATCTTTCCAGAAGATTCTCTGACATTCTCACCACAATTCAAGAGTTTCTCTGGAGGCTTCTGGAGCGTCACATCCTCAAGATGGTGGCCTTCTTCGCTGTATGGGTCGCCCTCGAAGAGGTACGGCAACGACTGACGCATCAAGTTATTGTGTTGTATCTTTATTTTGAACATGTTACAACAACAACACAGAAAAAAGAGACAAACAAACAAAGGAAAACAAAACAGTAATAATTATAAATCACCTGCATGTTTAAAAAGCAGCAGGATGAGCTTATTTAATCCCGCCCCTGCTCTTCTTCCTGTTTATGGCCTATCATCATTACAAATATACTGAGACATACATAAGCATGCTTGTGCAGCCGCACACACTCTTATACACACATCCCTGTAGTGGGCGATCCACCCGGTCCAGCCCTCCCTCCTCTCTGTACAACTGGTTCATGCTGGGACGTTGCTCCGGTTCTTCAGTCCACTCAGAGAGGCAAACACCTCGTAGTGTTGGACGGATACAGGGATGTTTGAATTCCCACATGCATTATCCAAGCATGATGAGGAATATTCACCCAGCTGCACAAACTGTTTCCTGTCAGTAAATCCTTTTTCACTCGGCCCCTGATCCCATACTGCTCCAGTTTATTAATAACATGTCGTGATTGATTGCATCAAATGCCTTCTAGTTATCGAGGAATAATCCGGCTGCATACTGTTTCTGATCTATAGCATTTATGATCTCCTCGATTTATTCGATTAACGGCAGTGATGATGTTTTGATCTGAGGCCACACTGACTGTCAGAGTCAGTTCTGTTTCTCTGAGATTAGATATTAGCTGTCACTGTCCCATATCCTGAATGTAGAGCCACAGCGGCCTGTAAAAGTTAGCAGTGAACTCACCAACAAGGAGACATTACTTGGCTTCAAAAGGCGTCATTCAGCATTTCATACAAAACCCTCGCGCTGGTCTCAAATCTAAGAGGACCATTTATGCTCGAGTTCACAGTTCAGACCTGTACTGAGATGTCACGCGTGTCAGACGTTTATCTGGGCTAAGACTCGGCTAAACTTCTGAACACAAACCCAAATTTTCCATAAGCTCCCAAAAAACACACATCCAGCTGCTACACACATGTGACCTTGTTGTTAGTGGTTCATGTAACCGAAACGACAAAATGTTTGCTACACGGTCTGTACATGCGTTCCCACATGCACGCACAGCACACCTACACTCAGTAATGCAGCTGATCTTTAGAGAAGCATATTTGCAGGTGAATCTCACATTTTTAATAACAGATAAAGTTTATCTGTCAGGAAGATCAAAGTGACAGCAGGAGCTTCTAAATGCTTAACACTGCATAGGGAAGTCAGCTCGTTATATGACGTTGGTGATGATGACGGTGAGAAAGACAACGACAACAAATGTTAAGAAACTGTCCCGATTAGGGGAACGCATACCTGTTAAAGTGCTGTCTCTCTCTGTCTGTAGCCATCCGTGATGAATCTGGTCCTGGTTGTCCTCTGGTCTCTGGCGATGCCTTATGACCGTTTCAGATCCATGGCGTCCTGCCTGTCCACAGTTTGGGTGTGCGTCATCATTGTGTGCAAGATGTTGTACCAGCTCAGTGTTGTTGACCCTGACGACTACTCCCGTAACTGTACCATGGTAAGACTCTGCTTTACTGCAGGCGTGCAAAGCCAGTAGGAGAGAAGCCGCTGCATGGTTTGGTTAATACCTGAGACGAGCATGCGTTTGTGCTGAGCCTGTGTTTATGCAGTCAGTTCAAGAAACCAAAAAGAAAGTGGCCGGGGTCACAGACTGGGCTGAAAATGAGCTGAAAGTCTGGTTATGTTCCCAACTGTGAACATCTCAGTAGTGTTTTATAAATCCGGTGAGATCAGAATAATAATTTTATTACTAATAATATTAGAGAACTTCTTGTTGTTTGACTGCTCTTGTAGAATAATCATTATCAGCACTGGAGTGAGAAAGTGTTTGTGATCCATCTTTTCTTCTACAGCCTCTTGCAAATGAAACCAACCTGTTACCAGAGGAAATGAAAAACTCTTCCTTGTATAAGGAACCAGTGGATCCCGCCAAATGGTTTGGCATTAGGAAAGATGCTACAGCACTCGGATACAGCAAGGTATATTCATTTCACTTCAAATAATGCAGATGAATTAAAGGTGTAGTATAAACACTAATAATGGCATTTAAGTCAAAGCCACTTGGCTCTGTGATGTGTTAGACAGCAGTGTGACCCGCGTCGCACTCTCAGAGTGAGGCCTTTGTTTCTCTTTGTTGAACTTGTACTGTCCAGCAGGATCGTGGTCATTGTACCTGCAGGGTGTCAGCAGCCCGGTGCACAGCTTCTGTGCACTTCTATCACTTACTTCATTAACACAGGTAGCTCAGAATCTAAGATGAGTAATGCTTTGTGTTTCTCTGCACATGGTACATGTCAGCTGTTGCTCATACACTCAGGCTTTAAAGGAGGAGTCACCCACTTCTCTGTGGATAAATCCTTCGCTGCACCTGCGTCCTAGTCCTCAAGTCCTCAGAGTTCCTGGCAATTTCTAACAAAAGACTTCAACCTTGTATTTAATATAAACATATGTGTGCTTCTTCAGAGAGAAACATTTGCATTTCCCCTTTGATAGATTTTGTTAGCGCCCTCATGTTTGAGCCACACATTTGAATTGCTGTCGGTAGAATCTTCATAATTCGTTTTTTACCAGTTTGTGCCTGAGAGTTGCACCTCTGCGTGCAGGCGAGTCCACCCGAGCTTAAAGCTTTACATATCACATTTGAGGTTTATTACAGTCAGCGGTGGCATGAATGCATTGTAGCAGATTGCATGCAGGTGGCTGTTTAATCAAAAGGAATTGCAGACACACGTACACATGTACAATTAGATGTTCTGTTTTACTCTGTGCATCTTACAGTGTACGTGGTTTGCACCCAACTGTTATGAAATTTTGGTGAAAGCCTAATCTGATTGTTTCCTAATGCTTTTTTGCAGAACCATTTAATTGTGCTGATGTTGTTGGTTTTTGAGGCAACAGTGTATCGACACCAGGCTCACCATTACCGACAACTCCAGCGTTCCCCGCCCGTCATCCCGGCGCTCTTTCCTGGCGCCACAAGAGACACTTCAGACCAGGGCCTCATATCCTGCTTCAAGTATCTGCTTAACTACACTTTCTACAAATTTGGATTAGAGGTAGTTAAGAAAAGAATCTCTTACTGCACAAATGTGGGCTTTGGATCAGAGTATATCAGTGACAGCTGTGCATTTTGCAGGGAATCCTTTCTATTGTATACTGTAATATTTGTTTTATTTTATTCTAAAGAAGATAAGTTAAATATAGCGTTCCAGCGCATCAGTGTCGTTTTTAGCCTTAATTTTTAAATATCTGCTCTTTTTTAAAGATTTGCTTCCTGATGACTGTGAATGTGATTGGACAGAGGATGAATTTTTTAGTGATAATCCACGGCTGTTGGTTAGTAGCAATCTTAGTGAGGCGGAGGCGGGCAGCTATTGCAAGGATCTGGCCAAAATACTGTCTCTTCCTGTCCATCATCATGATCTACCAGTATCTGCTGTGTGTGGGCATACCGCCAGCTCTCTGCATAGGTGAGTTTTAAAAGCCTTCGATTTTAAAATAAATTAGATGTCAGAAATGTGTAATACATGAATAAAGTATATTCTTGCATATTTCCACACTAGATAAATATTAGTAATACAATATGTATGTTTTATTATGATAAATCTGTGGATGAAGATGCTCACGTTGCATCTTTTTGTTGCATCTTTGCCCATATCAAATCATCCAACTTATTTTGAGACGATGGAATCAGGAGTTGTAGACCTAACAGTCTCCACATGTGTGACTACTTCTCACATGTCTGAAAGAGAGCCCACACATGCCAAGAAGCAATCCACCCTGAACCAGCAGCGTTTAATAGATGTCTTTGGAGATGCTCAATCTTTCTCCGATCGTTCTCTCAGGATTGCAGATTCACCCAGTGAACAAATCCAACAATACGTCCATGTCTTCTACAAAACCAAGCACTGTGTGCTCTATTCACTTCCCATTAGCTCGTATCCCTGGATAACGACTTTGTGGTTTATATCAATGGATGCAGTGCCGTATCTTTACATTTATAACGGTAATTATTTAGGAAGCACTGTGCTGTTCTTGAAAACAAGACTGCATGATGATAAGCATCTTGAAGTACGTTGATTTGGCACTATATAAAAAAATGTAATTGTATATGTTAATAATGAATGTTAATAACAGTTCAGCCTCCAACCTAAAAGCCTAACAGAAAAGAGCTTTACTGGCCCATGTACAGTTTTATTACGCTGCAAAAAAGCTTTTATTTTGAAATATTTCAGTTTTATTATTATCTACTTCAGCCTTAAAATAAATTGGGTCTCATACACCCCATGTCCCCCTTTAGATGCAGCCCTGCTGGTTGCAGATATTGCTGGTTCTGTGCGCTTCCTCAGGTGGGGGCTCCCAGTTTGCACTGGAATTGTTTGCAGCAGAGTCTGACTTGGTGGGAAGGAGAATTAGCAGTCTTAGGACAGGGGTGGGCAATCTCAGTCCACGAGGGCCGGTGTCCCTGCAGGTTTTAGATGTGTCCTTGAACCAACACAGCTGATTTAAATGGCTAAATTAGCTCCTCAACATGTCCTGAAGTTCTCCAGAGGCCTGGTAACGAACTAATCATGTGATTCAGGTGTGTTGACCCAGGGTGAGATCTAAAACCTGCAGCATTTCTCTGTAGTTTACCATCTGTGCCCTTCATTAGAATAGCAAGTGAAAAGTTTTAGCTCGAGGCCTGAGATTGCCCACCCCTGCCTTAGGACCATGGTCCTCAGACTGGGAGGTGCATCATCCATGATGCAGACACTGTAGCAGTCCAGTCCAAACAGAGCTGAGCATAAAACCAGGCTGATCTCTGTCCCTACACTCACCTATGGTCATGAGCTCTGGGTAATGACTACATTAATGAGACTGTGTATACAGGCTTTGGAAATTATATCTCTCTCAAGGGTGGATGGGCTCAGTCTTAGAGGTAGGGTGAATCATTCGGGAGGGTACTTAAAGTAGAGTCACTACTCCTCCACATGGAAAGGTTGTGGTGGTTCCTTCATCTGATTGGGATGGTTTCTGGGAGCCTCCTGGATGTAGTTTTCCAGGAATGTCCTACCAGGAGCAAACCCCCCCCAAACAAAAACCCAGGACACACTGGAGAGATTATGTCGCCTGGCTGACCTGAGAGCACATTGGTGTTCCCGCTGATGAGGGGCGGTCTGGGCTTTTCTGCTGTACAGCCCGGATGAACAGTAGTGGATGGATGTGCTGTTTGTCTGAATTAGCTGAGGCCGCTCGTATTTCAGCTAGTAGTTTTATAGATGTGTGGAATGTCTGAGAAATGCAGGCGTGTGCAGACTGTCTCCATTTCACTTGTTTTATTTAAATTATGGCCGATTACAAAAGGTCGGTCTTATGTGCCAGTCGGGCACTTTTCAGAGAGGATGTTTACACATGTTTCTATAAATACTACTGTATGTCTCTGCTTTTGTGTGTGCTTGTTGTAGACTACCCATGGAGATGGAAGAGTCCAGTGTTGATGAACTCAGCTCTCATTAAATGGATCTATCTGCCTGATTTTTATACTGTTCCAAACTCCAGAAATCTCATAGGTTAGTCTGTGTGCTTGGTCACTCCATCCATGAGTGAACAAAGCAAACCTTTGTGTCACTGCCACTCCCACAGTGTGGAGTGTGCATATTCTAATGGAGTACACTTCAGAGTTTGTATGGATTATTATTGGAAATTGTCACAAAAGAGCAGTTTTTATTACACTAAAAGGCATATTTGTGCTGGTTATGTTTGTCGTCTCACAGTTGTTCCAATAACTTCTGCATATTGTTAATGTTTATGACTCTATTTACACAATTGTGTGTTAATATAATAATATATGTAGACAAATTCTGCTCTTTATAGTATAAAATCCAGAGCGCTCCGTAGAACAAGTACATTTGACTGTAATGTGTAGTCAGAGTTCACAGTTAACATATTGTCATATATAGTCCAAGGAGCTTGCAAAGAAAAGCGTCTGGACTTCTTTAAGTTACTTGAAGACGTTTCACCTCTCATCAGAGAAGCTTCTTCAGTTCTAAGGTCAAATGGTGGAGAGTCCCAGATTTAAACCCAGTGGGAGTTTCCCCCCACAGAGGGACGAAAGGATAAAGGACACTCTTTCGAGGATGCCAATGTTCACATTTTGGACAGAGAGGACAGATGGTTTGAAAGAGGAGTGAAAGAAGCATCTATGTCCACTGTGAGCGACCATCTTTGAACAGAGGCGGGGCTTACGACACCAACTCTCTGCCATCTATAATCCAGTTTTGAGATCCTTCCCAGACGCCTTAACGCCCACTCACATCCTGGGCCAGCTGACCTCAGGAATTCGCATGATAAGGTGGGGCCAGGTTTCACAATGAACACACCCGAAACTCTGGCTGATTGGGACCCACACCCAGTTTCCCACCTTGGCTCAGGCGATTAGAGGATCATCAGGGGTCCTTTTGTCCCTCTGTGGGGGGAAACTCCCACTAGGTTTATATCTGGGACTCTCCACCATCTGACCTTAGAACTGAAGAAGCTTCTCGGATGAAGGTGAAACGTCTTCAAGCAACTTAAAGAAGTCCAGACGCTTTTCTTTGCAAGCTCCTTGGACTTCACAGACGTTGTCATGTATAGTTTTGTGTGTATTCCAGTTACTAAGAATTCAGTGCTGCAGGTGAAAATCATTGCGTTATGTTGTGTGCGCCCACAGCGGACTTTGTGCTGCTGATGTGTGCATCTCAGCAGTGGAAGGTGTTTGAGTGTGAGCACGTGGAGGAGTGGATGGTTCTCGCAGGAGAGAACACAGATGAACCAGAACCAATGGAAGGTCGATTGTTCAACCCTGCACCTAATTTCATGAATTGCAGGTAAATATCATAAAGTCTATACGTCTATATTTTCAGTCATTTCAAATTTAACCTGCTTTGGGTGATTGGAGTGATGACACAAACAGCTTGACAGCGTGGGAAAGTGGGAGTGATAAAGCTTAGATTTAGCTGTCAGCTCCCAGCAGTGGACAGATGTGAGGCCATAGAGCGTGCTTATTGAACTCTAAGCTTCATTTATGCAAACACTGTTTCAGGGAAGGAAAATAACCACATGGAGCTGAGTTCATATTGTAGATACTGTATAGAAACAACAGAAATCCCAGTGAAATCACTTATTTGTGCAATTTAAAGCCAATGAGATCAATGATCAATATTGAGATAGTATTGGAGAAAATGGAGCCCCCTTGTGGGCTCAGGTGGTAGAGCAGATCATCCACTAACTGGAAGGTTGGTGGTTCAATCCCTGGCTGCGCCTGTCTGCATGCCAGATATCCTTCAGCAAGATGCAAACCGCAGGCTGCTCTTCGATGCATCCATCACAGTATGAATGTGTGTGAATGAGGCATGATGCATGAAGCCCTTTAAGTTAGTTAGTTAGTAGAAAGTTACAAGATGAGAAGCAGTCCATTCACCCTTAGAACAGAAATTGTGTAGAGGGTCAGCCCAGTACCACAGCAAACTGTGTGACAGAGCAGCCACAGTTTTGTTAGTTAGGAGCAAATTAGAAAAAAAGGGGATAATCTTGGAAAACGAAAAGGTAAAGTTTTTATTTATTTCCTTCCACATTTCCCCATATTTGCAAAATACTATTATTATTATCCGTTCATCCACCCGTTCTCTTTCGCGTATGCTTATTGGGGGGGCAGCTAGCCTATCCCAGCCATCGTATGGTGAGAGTGGAAATTGTGGACTTGACGTATGTAACAGTATGAATAACTTTGCTTTTGACATTTTGTGATGAAAGCTTTAATGTGATGTTGTAAAAGGACACTTAATCCTTACTTTAACTCTCTGACAGATGGCCTCACACATTACCTTCATGATTTTCTAGCACATGGAAGAAGTGGTTGTAAGACTGACCTGCCTGTTCTCGATCTAAATCTAAAGAAAAAATGGATTTTACTCATAGTTTGTCTTGCTCTCCTTCTCCATCTCACTACAGGAGCAGCTCTGTCATTCAAATATGTATTTTATGATTTGTTTTCTCCTTTTCCTCTTGTAGGAGTTACCTGGACATGGCGAAGGTTTTGGTGTTTCGCCACTTCTTCTGGTTTGTGTTGTCGGTGGTCTTTATCACAGGGTCGACTCGCATATCTGTGTTTGGACTGGGCTACCTGCTTGCTTGCTTCTTTTTTCTGTTGTTTGGAACGCAGCTATTGGGCAAACCATCCAGAACTCGCCTCAACCTGTGGGACTGTCTCATCATCTATAATGTGGCAGTCATCATATCTAAAAATCTCTTGTCTGTGAGTATAACATCTATAGTTTGATGATGAAATATATTTTATGTTTACATCCACAGCTAAGCAACAATGTGTTGTCCTGCCTCACGTATGTTGATGATATCACAAGGCTAACCTTGTTTGGCCTTGTTTGAAAAATAATTTACTCTTACCAAAAAACAACATTAAAAAAAATAAGCAAACTGTCGATGTGATGTCCAGGGACCGCCTGGCTCCTCCCCCACCACATGGCAGTGGTTTGCTGTAAAAGTCAGCTGCTAAAGCAGGGGTGGGCAATC